AATCACTACCAAACACCCCCTAGATAACAGCTAAAACTTGACTTGATTACATACCAATTTACAATCATTATTTAGGAAGCTCACAGCTTTAGCTATCCGGTGCAGTCCCCATGCATAATACTCATCCCTGCCATAAGAGGAAAGTAAAAGACTAGAAGTTGATTTTTACAGCCTAGCATACAAAAGGAGCAGACCCAGGTAAATTACAAAAATATCTCAGAGAGATTTACGAAATGTAGCAAATACTAAAAAAATGCAAATACTTATGCATATCGTAACTCCGATATACAAAAGCAAACTACCCACTCAAATTTGCAGATACAACTGTAATGAATAAATACCTAAGAAATACAGATTGCAAGATTTTAAAAAAGATATTAAAAAAAAAGTTATATTAAGCGATGAGATTGAGAGTATAAAAGTGAACAAGATGTCCTCATACCTCCATAGCATAACACAAAGAATAACATAACTACCTGTCAATTGCGATATGTGTAATATTCATATGAACAATTTTTTTTACTTGTTTCCATCAGGGCCATTAAATGTTAAAATAACAAGAGCAAGGGAATAAAAATATTTACACCTTTGGCTGCCTTCTAATCCCAATTCCTTGATCTTTTCAGACAGAGGCATAACGGGCTCTGTGACAATGTAGATTGTAACCTTTGTATTTGAACCATCAAAAGTTTCTGCCTCGGTACTGTAAAGAAACGACAAAATATTCGGATGCCTAACCTGAAAGAAGATACGTCATTCAGCTCTAGGACAAAAAAGAATAATGTGAAAACCAATATCATAAATCCATTCACCATGCTTCGAGAAGTGTACAAAATAATAAGAATTACACTTTTGATACATCAAAATCGAGGACTTGCAATGGGGACAGATTTCTTTCCATTCCACCGCATAGATGCAGAAGCCTCATAGATAATCTCACTGACCAACGAAGTACTCCTTCAAGCCTTTATTTGTTATATAAATTTGTATGTAATATATAGTCCCTGATTGGATGCATATAACCCTCTTGTAATCACAACTTATTCACTTACATGGATATCCCAAATCACTGCTAACCAAGGAAGCATTATTTGATTTTCTTTGCTCTTAGCAGCTTGTAATTAACAGAACAATTTTTATCTCCACGTAGGCTCTTAAGCTACAATCAATCAATTATCCCTAACGGTATCAAATTGCATTTCGTCTCTTGGGCTATTACCTACTTCGTTTCTTTATTTGATGCCAAGTCCATAAAATTGATACCGAAGCACGAGCAAGTTCAGATGCTACATCATGATAGCGAAAAAAACTAAAAAGATTAATTACATAGCCAGGAAGGGATACTTTTGAGTAGTAATTTTTCTCCCATGGAAAAAAAAATCATGCAAATGACAGTTTCTGAAACAAAATTTGTTAGAAAAATAATAAGTTTTTCAAATCGAAGAGACGAAAGTATTATGCAATTGATAAAAAGTTCTCAAGGAACAGGAACGCTTCGGACCGTAAGGTTAAAAAATTAGTGCAAAGTATCATTATTAGCATATCGTACACAAGCGACAATGACAACGCATGACAATGAAGGGGAAAGGAACCACATTGAATTGTATTTTGTATTACATTCAGAAATTGATAAAATAAAATTAAAAAAAGAGGGGGACCACACTTCTAAAAAATTGGATTGTTGTGCCGAAACAAAAACATCAAATGATTAGGTTTCTTTCCCCGCAACAAGTCATTAGTATTCAACCTATTCTGCACCACTGAGCCAGTGGAAGCCTTAATCTAAGAGGGAACAACAGTGTTCCAGATAAAAGAAGTTACAGGAAATGTCAAAGAATGTCTAGACTAGGTTTCCCCTAAATAAAACGCACCAATCAGAACTTACTGTTCGAAGGCGCTTGACACCATTGCGACCAGCAGCTAAATGACCATCATTTGCATTGCTTCCTGAAAGAGAAAATATTGATACAGGAGTCCCATCGTCCTGTTAAACAAAACGTAAAAAAGAGAAAATAATGATTGGAGGTCTTATATTTCAATACTATCACTATAATTATACCAAAAAAAAAAAAACTATTGTCGCTATATAGTCTAGCACAACCTACATGGAAAACTCATATTATCTACTCTTGCTGCATGGAGATGCAAAGGTAGGGCTAACTCAATTTAGAAGAAAAAGGATGCGCTTCATGATTATGAAAGTTGATTATAAAATAATCTGCTATACATAAATTTTGCAAGTATTAAATTAGTTCTTAATGAATAAACAATACCTTGTAAGCTATTTTTAGAGAGAATAAATAAATTAAAACAATCCAAACCCAACAGAACTTGGAAAAACTTGACATTGAAAATTAGCAATGACATGGAAGGATGAAAATATGGACATTTCTGCTTGTAAAAGGCTGTGTGCATGCACACTTGTACATCAACAGAACACAGAAATTAACTTTGTAAAGCATTATTTATTGACAGAGTAAGAATCTTCATTCAATATACTCCATCAGAAGTTAATGAAAAAATATAACTATAGGATCAAATAGTTGAAAAAAATAAATTATATGTATAACTGTTGGTAGTATTTTCTTGAATAAAGATTTGGCAGATGCAAAATATGGTTCTCATACTCTTTTGCTACATTATTTGCTAGAAACTCTGAGAGGTAAGAATGAAGTGAACAAAGATATTGAGCATATTTTGGCTGCCCTCCAAATTTTACACCTTATGTGCTATTGGTCAAGAATTATGCCTCAATTTCAGGAGGCTTACACCCAAGCTAAGCCTCAGAGCCACTATGCGGTGTGTTTGTTTGTCTTGCCTTTTTGAGGCTTTTAATTATTGACCTCAACTTTATGTAATTTTTTATAATCTAAAACATTGTTTTCCTAATTATTAACAGAAGGGGAAGGGAAGACGCCATTGCAAGAGAATGATAACAAAGAATGAGAAGATATTCACAGTAAAAAGAAGGATGATAGGGGCATATGGGATTCATATATGTTGACAATTCTAAATAGGTTCCTATTAGTAGCGATGATATGGGAGACTTCTAATCAGTTTCTACATATAGTAGTATATTTGAGAACTTAATATCTCTACTTTTATCGATTTATTTTATGTTTGTTGGATTTTTAATTTTATTAATTTGTTTTATATTGATGGTCAATTTGATTTATGGTTTATTATAGAGTATTTTTTATATCCATATTCTTTTAATTATTTTATTAGTTTTTCTTAAGATTTATGACTCATTTCATAGATGTAAAAAACCTCAGTACCTGATTGAACATTTTAAGACATTGTCGTCTCCACTACTTGTTAGTTGTTAGTCGTTGGTGTATACTCTTATTTATTATCTTATCAACTCTAATATGGCATGCATCCATCTTAACCTCCTCATTTCACTATGTTCATTCTATAAAAATGACACACGAATATCATTATATCAGAATACCACTATGCTTCTTATATACACAAATTGTTAGAATATCTTAACCTCAAGTTAGGTCTAGTCCGGTAAAATTATACACAACTTTTGTCCGATCATCACTTCCAGCTCATTATTCCATAAAATCAAATTTTGTAGCAACAAAAATAAATTGGATAACAGCATTATCAATACACTTTTCGGTAACAGCATTTTTCCCAGAAAATTGGAACTTAACAAAGGGAAATTCGAGAAAATTCAGAATGAACTCAACAAATTCAATCAAAAATCAGAAAAACGACAGTGAAACATATACAAACGTGTATCCATATCTACATAGACATAGATATAGGGAGATGAAAGAATGGAAAAAATAGAGAACCTTGGAGGTGCCACGGCAGTGAACCCAGGAGCCCCAAGCAGAAGAGTAAGGCTCGCCGATGTTGTATGGCAGATCTTTGAGGCCCGCACCCGATCCGCCCACCACACCTTTCAGGAATTTCAGCATCTTTCCAGGCACGGCCCGATCAAATCTCTTCGGGAAATTCCGGTACTACAATTGAACGGTATATTATTTTATTACATAGAGAGTTAGAGAGGGAAAGGGTGGATCCGATGAAGGGGAAGTGTGCGAAGCAGTGGATTACAGATCGAAAATCGTAATTGCGAAGAAAAGTAATTCAATTAATTCAATTGATTAATATTTCATTTTGCGAATGGCCCACCATTTAATTCTTTATGGGTTTGTTAGAGGGAAAAATTCATAAATAAGGTGTATTCTTTACACCAATTCAAAAATAAGGTTTATAGTTTGAAACTTCAAAAATCAGGTTTTTTTTTTTTTTAAATTCTAATATAATATAATATAACATA